TTTTGTGTTCAACAGCATGAAGGAATCTCAAACAGGTTTAGAACATCAACAGAATTTTCATTTTTGGGTGAACTATAATGCAGCCTAATATAGCTGCTGTTACCATTTGTGTCAATAATGTAAATCAAACATCAGCAAGAAAATAACTTACTGTCCTTGACTGAATCACTTTTGTAAAAGAAATCAGAATGAATGTATATTGAATTTATACAGTGAAGACTATTCAGTCTATTTGCACATTTTCTTTATACAATATATTTATTATTCAACGCTTTAAGTTTTTCAAGTAGGCCGTTTTTTATGATCTTTGTTCTGTTGTAGCCTAATTTGTGACTGTTTACTTGTCTTCAGTAAGCTTATTTTTACTTAGGCTAGTATTATTTTTTATTGATATTGAAATTGGTAACAAAAATTATGAAATTTCAGTGCATCAAGAATTTTGATATGGTATAAAAATCATATTTAAAGCTTTGAGAGTTGTTCATTTTCAGTTCGTTCACCAAAATGATTAGTTCAGAATCGTTCACCGATTCGTTCAGTGACCATTTCTTCATACTACATAAATACGCCTGCAGGTGGCGAAAAAGAGTCTTACGTGTTATGTCTTAAGTCAACGAACGTATTTACTTGTTACAAAAAACTGATTTGGCTTTATTAAAATGTGTGCATAATCTACTCATTAAATAAAGTCTAAATAAGTTGTTCAGATGACCAAAGCACAAGGTTTTCTTGCATAATTAACATTTTAATTGTTTGGTCAGACATTTACACATTCATAAATCGGGGATTAAACGTTGAGTTATGTTCTGTATGCTAAATATGAATATATAAACAAGCGTATGTGCACAGTACCTATAACTGCGCTTTGCATCCGCTTTCTGCTGATTGCAGATCGAGATTGACTCACATACTAAATGGCAGACTGACCCGGTACACTCTCATTCATTTCGTTCACGAATGAGATATGTACCAGTTCAGTCATTTCATTCATGAACGAGATGTACCAGTTCATTCAACTCGTTCACGAACGAGAAGATCTCTCTCTTTCAGACTCAAAAGAAACTCGTTCAGTGAAGGGCGTATTCGTTCACTACACTCAACAAATCACATGCTCCGTCACATCTCATATTCGAAAGCTATTGCTCGAGGTTTAATCATTCTTTGACAGGATGAAACAGTCCACAGAGCTACCCGGTTCACCGAGCTGCACATGCGCTGCTAATAGCACCGCGCTGCTCTGGAGGGTGGAATTTCAGTGAATGAGAAATATGAGTCAATGGATTACGTGAACGAGAACGATTCGTTCACCTAAAAGATTCGTTCAAAAAGAACGATTCGTTCACGAACGTAACATCACTACCGGTTTCAAAAAATATAGGTTTCACTCTCCCAAAACACCGGATCCGTGTGGACGAAACACCTATACGGAACAAAATTTATGCGTATACAGCTAAACGCGTCTCCGTGTGGACAGGGCCTAAGTTATTCAGCAGAGTTATGGTAGAAGGCAATATTATATAGACTACTTTTATATTACCTTTAGGAGCTTGATATTATATAAATTACTATACATTTACAGTCACCTTTGATCAATTGAATGCTTCCTTGCTGAATAAGTATTAATTAAAAAATTTTTTTTTTTTTGTGTGTAATATATTTATCTGTATAGATATATAATATATTCCCTCCTATATTGAATGAGAAAGTGCAGCCTAAACTCTTTGCTAAATAACTTCTTTTGTGTTCCATAAAATATAAATCATATTCCTTTGTAGGGCTGGGTAAAAAATATCGATATCTCGATAT